AAAACCAATCGATCACTCGGATTTCTTCGGCGAAACCCGAGTAGTTGCCCCGAGGGAGTGAAAGAGGCAGGCTACAAAGCCCTTGGGACGCCTCACATGGAATACGCTAGCTCAGTCTTGGACTCACACTTTGTTAAAACTGTCATACTCGGGAACCAGGAACAATTACCAACCTCTTGCACAAGTTAAACTAGTTAAACTAGATACCCCTAAAGGTACAAAGAACAATCTCACGGTTAACCTTATTCCACAAAGCAATTCACGGTGATGGCAGCCTGGCCTTCCCAGACTATGTTATGGAGCGCAGAAGACATTTTAAGGAACTCTACCAACAACAAGTTTATTGAACTGCTGCCAAATTCTGAGACTCACAAGAATAGTTATTTTTGTTAGTCTGCAGATCGATTTAAAAAAGTCTTATTCGCATATTTTAGTCAGGTAAATTTTAATAGTGCATTTAATCTTGTGTAGAAAATTTTTTAACATCATTTACTTCTAAACTTTATTTCATTTTATTTAGTTAGGCGTCTTGCGTGATGGCAATCCCGTTGCAAGACTACAAATTTTTGAATATTAAGGTTGAATATAAAGAGAAATGGCAGTCTTGACACAACCTTTACAGCCAATAAAAAATTGGTTGCCCTTCTATAACCAAAATAATTTCTCTGCAACAGCCTCTTTGGAATACAAAGATCCAGAGAAGTAAGGGAACTACTCAATAAACAACCAAATCCTTTTCTTATCAACATTAAATAGAGACGAAATTGAAACACAACAAATGGAAAAATAAATACAAGAGAAAGAGAAACATGTAATGGATCACAAGCATTACAAGGCCTAACATCCTTACATACAATACATACAATACATACATATGCAAACTTCATTTACTCTTAAATTCCAGAGTAGCTTACAGGGGTGTTTGTTACAGTTTAAAATTGACCAACGTTTTAAATATCACCATTGACCATTGCAATTTCGTGAAACTGTTCAAAACTTAAGTGACGCGGCGAGTAGTTCCACTTCATTAATAATGTCTATTTTTTTGCGATTAATATTTATAAAACTTTGAATTTCTGGTGCTCCAGTGTGACAAAGTTTCTTAGTGGATAATTAAGTCATTTCCATCCATTAAACATAGATAACACTTTTGTTGTCTTTCAGATAAATTATAGTTTTGTGTTTTTTTTTGTTGCTGTATGCTTACTGTACTTAGTTTTTAATGCAATTACCTGTTTGCTCCCTACAATTACTACAGCTTTCTCCAGCTTTTCTTCATTGTTTTTAACACTATCTCTTTCTTCCATCATGCAGTTCTATATTGTGGAGATAAGAAAAAAAGTATTACTCAATTTTAAGTCTTCAAAGACTTTCAATCAATTGAAACGTATGTACATCAAATGACACTCTGTGATATTTCCTTCGTTTTAGAAAAGTACCTGCCACCGCCACCAGTAAATTGGTCCAAATAATTGAATTGGATTCCGAGGAGTATAGCGTTATGTAATGTTCATGACTTGTCTATTCTAGTAGGTACCATAACGGAACACCCATGGATTAGGGTGAGGTTAACATTCAAACTTGCGGCCATGGGATCGGGACCCTTTAATTTGTTATACTATTATGACAAGGAGTCGAGCCTTTTTGGGTTTCAAACTTCAACAACCAGGAAAAGAGATTGTGCAACGTATTAGCAAACCGTTCTATTTCATGACGATGATCAGAATACATAATATTTTCCCTGGCTAAATACTCCCTCTTCCCTCATCAAATGCAATGATATAAATAACAAGCACTTGTACAAACACTCAAAGCTTGAATGAACTAACAAAAAGATTTTTGGTCTGTTTTAGGCGGCCACGAATAGTTAACAAAAAGCTAACCTGCAAGTCAGCGTTTATAGAACAGATGCTCAAAATGCTCAAAAGTGGTTCTCACATGGATCGCTAAGCAAGATTATTTCTCGCTTAAGCCATATATTTTACGTCTTAAACTTATTGAATAGTTGATTGATATGGCATCATCCTTTTGACCTTTAGCCATCGTGGTAATAATAACATCTACCCGGTGAAACTTTTTTATAGCTTGGAAAATGGATCAACACAGGTAGGTGTTTAAAATCTGATCTTGGAATCATCATGTTCGTTAATGAGAACTCACTTCTAATCACAGGGTTGTATTATCTGTTGACGACTTCTTCAGACCGATTTCTTACACTCAGACCGCCTTAAACATGAAAAAATGCTCGAGTCTTGAGGGAGTTAATTGATTTTTTTTAAAATGATTTTTGTTAATAAAATTTAATAGTTATTTACCGCAAATCCTCTATTAAGCCGGCTGTATTTATTTCAAACTGCATATTCGAGGTGGGGGTGGGGGAGGCTTCCTCAATTTAGCAAAGAAGATGACAGTTCTCCATAAAGAACTCAGAGAGAAAAGTGGAAGAAGTTTTGAGGTCATCCTGAGACTAATGAAAATTTCCAATGACATTCACCATAAATCTCGTTTTAGTAATCTTTGAACCCTTGCCAACATTCATTTCTAGAGATTTTGAAGTATACACCACTAAAAGCGACAATCAACTTTTTATTAAAGGCTGCCTCTTCTTCTTCACGACTACTACAATGCATCCTTTCAAACAGTCTATAGACTTACACGTCTACTTTTATTTTACTTTTTACAATCTTATCACAATATTAACAGCAAAAAGTGGCATCAAATCCTTTGAGGCTATATTTCAATCTCCTTGCTTCCCATGCCAAAAATCACTACAATTTTCCAACAACATCTACCTCTCAACTTTAAAATTTCTTAATATGTAGCTTCAATCAGAACTGTCGTCTCTGGCTTTGTAATAAAAAAAACATGAAGCTGGAAATGTTGTTTTAGCTTTCACTGATAAGCAGCTGTTCACCAAACAAGTATAGACAACCAAGGCTGCTCCCATTCATCTTTTGCCTTGCTTTACTTTGAGCCCCATTCAATTTTTAATGTTCACCTTGTACTCCTATCAATTTTCAATTAAAAGCCTTCTTGTCACTGTAGATTTCTAATTTGAGTCCTTGCCAACAGCCCATTCGCGTACTGTGACATGCATTATACTTTTCACTATTCTATAATTATGGACATCTTCACACAACCTTTACAGCCAATAAACATTAGTTGTTCTTCAATAACCAAAATAATCCCTCTGCAAAAGCCACTTTGGAAGACAAAGATCCAGAGAAAAAAAAGAACTACTCAAAAAAAACTACACCCTTCTTGAATCAACATTTTCATTTTTCCTATGTAATTACGGTGCTGAACATGAGTAGGAACATTCCTCAACCCTAAAGAAATTACTGCCGCAAAAAGCTACAACTTACAGTTATCATGGCAAAGAAACTATTACTAACGTCAACTCTACAAGGCAATGATTGCTATCGTTTTTGATAATTGGTCAAATGCATTATTATCTGTTCACTTTATCCTATCTATATGCCTAGCTGCTTAGGTTTGTGAAACCAATGTGGAGAGACAAGGAGAAAGTAGTAGCTTTTCCGGCTGAAAAGCTGGAAAAGTGACTTCCAAAGAAAGGGATGTCAGCATTGCCAGCAGAAAGAGTCTGCCATCAGATAAAGAAGTACAATCTTGGTAGGTGATTCCATAGCTCAAATGGGGGTGGCAGTGCCCAGTGGTTTAAGTGAAAACAAGGTTTGGGTGGGGGAGCTTAGTCTTGCGGGCTCACAAACCTCTTTGAGCTACGGAATCTAGCCCAGCTTATGAGGTCCACAAGAGCAAGATCAACTCCTACAGATAAAACAATGATGAATGGTCGGAGAAGTAGGGTGACCGGGAAGGCCTGACCCCTCTGTGTATGCGAGCTTCCTCTCCTTAACGACCGTTATTTTGTGTCATTTCTAACAGCCAATGCATGTACTGTAACATGTATTTTACTTTTTAATCTGATTATCAATAACCATAGTTAACTGAGAGATTTCCTGTTGTCTGTAGGTTATCGCGTTGGACATGGACATTCAAGCCATTCCACAAAGTTTTGTCCTTGTGTCTTGCTTGGAGTTGCCTTGCTGCTTTTTTGCCTTTTATTTGTCTATTTGGCTTTAATTCTGTAGTCATACTGCGGTTCCTTCATTGGCAGCCTTGCCCCTTCAGTAACTGTTTGAGGTCGGTCCAGGCTACTTGCCAGTTTCTTATAAGGTTGTCTCCCAAATCACTGCAGGAAAACTTGTCAATTTTGAAGACTTGTTGGCTGAAAACATTCCTCCCAATGAGCCCGAACCGCAACTCTTGTTTGATGGCCAGTTATTTTGTCGGACACACCCAAGAAGCCTGAGCGTCAGATTTCTGACATTACATCCTAGATGGAGGCCTTTTACATATTTATTCTTTGCTCATATTTTCCACATCAATGGAGAGATTTGACAAACTACAAGCTGTCAATTTTACAAACATCTTGTCAATTTAGCAGTTTCTGTCAGTTTAGCTATGACCGGGCTTTAAGGGAGCACACGCAGCAGCAAGAAAGCTCACCAACTGGTGCACAAGTTCGTACACGTCCAGCTTCAGCCAATCTAGTCACCTCCCAGGCAGAGGTCTCTGGTAGCACTACTACGAAAGTTATTTGGTATTCTTGGAAGGCGGGCTTGCTGCATCGCTCTCAATGCGAGCTGTCTATTCTGCCATGCATGTATTCTTGTACTTCTTTGCATTTAACTCGTCCTCACTCTCCAGATCCTAAGGAACCAAAGCACCAGAAACACCATTAATTGTTGTGCCTTTGTTGTTAAATACTTTTGTAAAGTTGAGTTTACTATCATCACGTTGTCATTCTTACTATTTTTGTCCTTGGCTCATCTATGATGTTGCCAGCTGTTGAGGAAGTCTCTCCACTAAATGTTGAGTTGTTTGAGGCTGAATTAAGTCGCCGTCCTGATAGGGCAAAAGTTAACTTCGTTCTTCAAGGTATCAAGGAAGGCTTTAGACTTCCTTGAGATAAACCAGTAACTGGTTTGTCAGCGTACCAACATGCAGGGGTGATTGATGTCTATCTAGCTAATGAGGTCAGCCTCGGCGGAATGGTGGGTCCTTTCAACTCTACTCCTGTGCAAAATCTTCAAATGAGCAGTTTCGGGGTGATACCGAAGAAAGGACAGCCGGGTAAATGGTACCTTATAGTGGATCTATCCTCGCCTCAAGGCCACAGTGTCAGTGATGGGATTGATCCAAATTCTTGGCATCTCCAGTACATCAAAATAGATGACATCATTAAGATGGTTTTAAAATTTGGGCCTGGTGCTCTTATGGCCAAATTTGACATAGAGTCTGCACACAGGAATATTGCTGTTCATCCATATGTAATGCTTATTACATGGACCACGCCTTGCCATACAGGGTTTTTTCAGCTCTCGTTATTTCTAATTCTGTGGCAGATGTCGTCAAGTGGATTTTGGTCAATAACTATGGCAGCCCCAGCTAACTCTTCCATGTGTGCATCCAACCTTCATGTAGCAGTCTTCGTGGTCGCCAGGTTGAGTCTCCCTTTGTACCCTCACAAATTTCTGGGTCCAGCCTCTTGCATGGTGGTCCTCGGAATTGAATTAGACACTCTGGCTCAGATTGATGCCTTCCGACCACTAAGTATCCTTCTATTCAAGATGTTCTCTTCCAATGGTCTACCCAAAAATGCTGCAAAAAAAGGAACTTCAGTCATTGATTGGTCTACTGCATCATGCTTGCATGGTGGTGTGGCCAGGTAGCTTTTTCCTTTGCAGAATGATCTTCCACAATGATTCTCACCCGATCCGTATTGATGTGGATTTTAGAAAGGACTTAGCTTGGTGGGTGGAACGTTTTGGCCAGTGGAATGGGATATCCTTCTTTCTTTTTCCAACCCTTGATCTGTTGTGATCAGTTATGGTGCATTTAAGGACAATGAATGGTTCAATGGCCGATGGTCTCCTCTTCAGCTCCATCTGTCAATTGCTTGGCTGCCCATGTTTGGGGCCCTCGTTGGTCTCGCAGGCGTATTGTTTCATGTCGATAACAAAGCAGTGGTTCACACTCAATTAACAGACTTCAAAAGACCCAAACATTATGCACTTGCAGCGTAGCCTACTTAAATTGCAGCCTGCCTCAGTTTTACCTTTGTGGCTGTCCAATTTCCAGAAAAAACTAACGGCATAGCTGATGCCTTGTCTTGACATAGAAAAATGGAGCGACATCAATCACACAAGCCACATGTTGACTTCCAGACTAAATGCTGCCAAGTCTTAAGTGAAGGGTTTCAGATATATCCAATAAGTGTTAGGCTAAAGATGCTTCACATATTGCATACAGCAGCACAAGGAAACGATTCCTAATATTAAACCTTTTATGATTCCTTTTATGAAACCCGAAACCCTGCAAAAATTATACAAAAGTAATTTATCTCAAAATAACAGACTGGTCAAGTTTTAAGTTAACTTCCTATACAGATGCCTACACATAGGAAGGCTCGTACAAGTTATTATTCCTTTACTGTTACAATTTTGCTAGTAATATTAATTTCTTGTAGTAATATTGTGTACTAGTCTACTAGTTATTATTCCTTTACTATTCTATTTTGGGTACTACTAATAACTTCTTCTCGTAATAATTTCCACTACTTTTTATTCCTTTTCTGTTCCAAAGTACAATTGCAGGACAAATTAAGGCAAAGCAGAGATTTGTATCCCTCAAGAGCAGGGACAAAAAAACCCAGAAATTTTTAAAATATTTTCAAGGACAAATTTAATCCCTTGACCCTTAAAAGGATTGGCGAGGGTAATTGATTTATTTTTTATTATTTTTATCTATTTAAGCCCCCTGGCGATATTTCCAAAATAAAAAAAAATTCTTTATGCCGCTAACAAGTTCATGCTTGTTATATGTTTGCCAATGTGATGTTTCGTACTTTGTTTTATTTTCAGGGTCCAAAAAAAAGCGGATTTATTTTCCTTCGGGGGAGAAAACACCAAGAGTTGTATATGTATCGGGGGGGGGGGGGGGTGTAAAACAAAAACCCGTGGAAAATTTAAAAAGAGATATATAAAAAAACGTTCCAGACTAAAAAAAAAAAATCGTGGAGGGAAAAATAACTACTTAACAAGACAACCACAAACGGAAAGAAAGAAAAACGGCGTTCCCGTACTGAGTAACGAGGA